AGCCGTGTGTTGATGTAGCAAGAATATGCTCCTGAATCGAGGAGCGCCTCAGTCTGGACTTCCCTTACTCCCTGTTTGAGGTGAACAGGTAAATCGATCGCGTGTTTTGACGAACCAGTAGATGCGATGTATAAAAAACTTGATACTGGTACATGCGAGAGCGAGTAGGTACTATTACAGTGTCTATGGGAACTCTGGCCAGACCTCAGAGAACCCACTGAAGAAAATCCTCATCATCTTCTACCTCCGTGATCCTAGCTGCTTCAACAGCTGGTTCCGGTTCTGCCTCCTTTTCCTTTCCCTTCGCGTCGTAGCTGGCGATGAAAGCACGGACTGCTTCATATCTCGCCTTGCTGTCGTCGGAGATGTCTGAGGCTGTGTTTGAAGAAATTGCCCTTGTTGCTTGGCCCCGTTTCGGCATTTCGAATTTGCCTTTGTACTTGGGGTCTGGGCATCGCTGTTTAAAAATGAAGGGGTGTTTCCCACATCGTACACACAGCTTCTTCTCCAGCCATCCTTCTTGTTCCTTGGTGAGGGTGGATACTCGATCCACGACCATTGCGTTGGAGTCTTTCAGGGCCCGTGGTGCCGATGATGATGATGTTGTAACCGTTCCGCATTGTCCTGCTTTGTCGGCTCTGAACTTGGACTCCAGTTGAAGGCACAGATCGAGGTATTCCAGCCATGTGATGGGGTTGGAAATTCCTAGGCTGTCTCGTGTGACCATTGCCTGGCGTACGTCCTTGCTTCGGTGTTCAGCGATGTAACCGATGAGTGCAGTGTGCCCTAAGTTGGTCTTAGTGGCCCATTGATGGAACTGTTCTGCGAAGGATACCATTGTGGGATACGTCTTGCCGCAGATATCCTTCAAATGCTGCTGCGCATCCTTGTCCGGGTCGAGGGTCCTGTAGTTTACTTTGAGAATGTTGATGAAGTCTTCCCATGTGCCAAGTGCCTGCCGTGCTGCTGCTCTGGTCGCATATTTGGACATGTATGTGAATGCGCCTCCTTCCAAATGCAGCAGGGCCATGGTGATCTTGTGCTCGTCATCATTGATCTCATTCCACCGCATCCATATACCGAGTTGTTGGAGCCAATCCTCCAGACTTCCTTTGCTCGAGTAGTGTGGAGGCTCAGCAATTTTGATGTGGGGTTTGTGTGATTGGACCATGCCGGACATTTGACCTTGCATCACAGTGACGCCGCTTGCTTTGAGCGAAGCTAGCTCATGTCGCAGCTTGACGTTAGCTGCCTTGATTTCCATCATTTCTTTGCCCGTATTGAGCATTGCCGCCTGGGTTCCCGTGAGTGTCACAAAGCACTAAAGCACTTAACCCAATTAAGGGCAAGTCTGCTTTTGTGACCTGCACAAATGATCCCACATAAAAAGCCTGCCACAAGGGCTAGGCTGAGGACACGCGCAGTGGTATGCAGTCTGAAAAAGGGGCTCAAAGGGCCCTTAGCCTTATGCTCACAACAAAGGGGTGAATTGGCTTGTTAGGCCGCATGCAATAGAATAATGAATCTAAGGTCTTCCCTTAGATCCTCATGGGCTTATATACATGTAGGGGTGGACCCTGGTCACTCTAACTAAGGTGTACCTACTGGGGTCCTGTCCTTTCTACATGTGGACATATTGCCAAAACCAGTAATGGTTCTGGACTTTGCTATGGCAACTATCTATAAAGGCCGTGGATATGTCAAGGTAATCCTACTTTACCCAATGAGATAATTGCCTGAAGGTGGTGCCACTATTTGAGTAGCTGAAGTGGTGCCACTTATTGAGTGGCCAATGGGGGTTCTGCCATAGCGCATATTCCAATGCTGGTGCTACTATTTGGCAGCCATCTAGTTGGTGCTGCTATTGAGCAGCGAATTGGGTGCTTGCTAGCTTGATGGTCCAATGAGCACAGGTAAGCCTATTGTGGGCCAAAGAGTTCCATTCTGGGCAAGTGGCCTGGTGTCACGTGACCAACGCCTGATAACTTCCAAATAGGGCAAGTGGCCAGTGTCACGTGACTGGGTGGCTGAATCATGGGCGCTTGGTGGTCATGTGGTAGACACAGTCATATCCACGATGTGTGTGGTGGTATTGTGCTGGTTGTCTAAGTATCCACTTTGTGAGACCAATATGAAGGTTGGCGTCTGAATAACCACTTGTGGTTGCCGAATGATGACTTTATTGGTGCAAAAAGAAAGGTGCCACTTAATACTGTGACAGTGAGCTCATCATTCAAAACTGTCATATGCGCATCTTGCACGAGGATCCTATCCTTGAGCTTCCCGATCTCTGTCTGGAGCATTCCTTCTTTGAGTCGGTGTTCGCTCTTGTTGTTTTGGATTAGTGACTCGAAGGCTTTCTTGTGCTCGTACATCTTGTTTCCGAGCACATTGTAGACCTTGGCGACTTCGGTACTGACCGTGAGCTTCATCGCCACAATAACCCATTCGCGGATGTGATCCGGGACTTCTCCAGGAGCGGACTGTCTGAGCGCATCTTCTAGATGCTCGAACTGGTGTCCGTCGAATTCCCAGATGGGGGGAACATAGGCAGGTAAGAGTGATGGGGTTGGGGACGCTGGTCCTCCAACTTGCGATGCAGAATCCTGCGGTCCTAGTGCAGGTTCTGGTGAATTGCGCTGCGAGGCGCGTGGGGTGCTTCCGTCATGTGCTGACTCGACGTTTGTATGCAGAATGTCATCCATTCTTTGCCTGAACATGGATGCATATGCACGATCGGCTCCTTCCATTGTGATGTAGATGTAGTTAAACTAATTGAAAATGAAGCCTAGGTACTGCTTGTCCTTGACTTTTCCAATCTCTCTGACGATCTCGTCTAACCTCTGCTGCTTCCCTATCTCCTTGAAGTTGATCCTTCCTATTTCTAGACAGCACGTGTTGATGACCTGTTTGTCGACGAAGGTGTATTCGTGAGTTCCCATGTAGAGGTCTGCGCAGACTTTGTCTAACTCCGATGCGAGGAGTTGTACCTTCTTTTGTTTGTCCTGATCAATTCTCTCCCAGAACACTCCTAATATCGGTTGTAGTCTGAAGCGGGTAGCGGAGACCTGCTTCTTGAGTGTTTCGATGTGGAGGGTGGGCCTGACTTTGGATGGAAGAGGGCGAATGGGTTGTGCATGTGTGTTGACTTTAACGAAGTTGGAAAGGGGTCGCACTGGCTGTGGAGCAACAATGATGGGGGAAACAGCGTTGGAGGTTATGAGCTCTGGGGGCGGTGCCGGCTTGTGACTACCAGTGGTAAGATGTCCCTTTCTGGGCTTGTAGCATTCGAGCGGTGGGGTGTGATTGCGTGGCTTGCAGATGATTCCGCGCTTTATGATGTGTGTGGTATCTACAACTCTAGCTGCTGCTCGCTGCCTGTCTGTGGACGATGCGCCTAGTGACGCAAGTGTGAGGAGCCTTCCACGCTCCTTGTTGATTTTCTGATGCTTGTAGTGGGCGTCGAGGTCGATCCTGGGGGTGGCCTTGCGCTTTGAGGCTTTGGGCAGCTCAGAGTCTTGCTGAGGCTCACACCGGGTAGAGATTGGATTGGAATGTGTGTCAAAAAAGCCGCACACTACAGCTGAAACTGCTTGCGCTGAAAATATGCGGCCGCTTGTGTTAGACACTAAGCAGGGGCACAGAAAATGTCAGATTGTTTCTAATGTCACGGTAACACCGGACAAGAGATCAAAAAGACTAAAAAGGGACAGTCACGTGGAACGTGCTGCCCTGATCCCCCTGATCCCAAAAGTATCCCCCTGAACCCTATGTGGTGCAAGAGCCTGTTGACTTACTGGTCAATGTGGCAGACGCAGGAAAGGGTGAGAGATATATGAAGGAGCTGGTGAGCTCAGTGAGTGCTATGGGTAGTAGACGAGGAGAAACAATCTGAGGTTTCGTCCCCTACATGGCTGGTCTTATATACATGTACAGCAGGCTATCTTACCTAAGCTACCTATCTACGGGTATAAGCAAATGGCCATACATGAAACAATAGGATGTCCGAAAGTAGAACAATAAGTGGGAAGATCGATGGTTGCCGCAGTAATGCGTGTGCACATCGTGCCTATCTTGGTTTCCCTTTTGTTCTCCGGTGTGAACATCGTACCTATCTAGGCTTCTGGCTAAACTAATAGGAAGCGGAAGGCCGATGCATAACAATAGTCCTTGTTCCCTTTGTTCCCAAATGGGTGCCTCTATTGTATCCTGGAATAGACAGGTCCGACCGTATCATCCACGGGTCTGGACCATAACATGTGATGTGGACTATCACCTGATCTTTACGCGTCACGTCTGTGGCTGAGTGGCGTGAGATATTGGTGAAGCATGTGATCTGTGGTGTGAGAAAAGTCACGTGCAGACTTTTGTGGTGAAAATCTGTGACAGCTACCAGATATACATAGACTAAGCAAATGTTCTGCCAATCAAATTGCTAAAGTACTTCCATCAATTGAAGTTAATAAACAAAAAGTCGACACATTATTTACCACTATTGATGCTTGCTTTATGTGCCGGCCACAGTCAATGTCAGTTCCGGTCCTCTGCTCACTTGTCTCCCACCATGCTCAGACTGACATTTCAACAAGACAAAAACTCCGAATTTATCCTGTCATTTATGTTCGTGCTGGCAGTTGACTCTCACGATCTGAGGCCGGAGGGGTGCATATGTGGCAATGGGCAGCACCACCACTGGTATATTTATATATATGTACGTGGGTACTATATAGTGGGGAGCACTGGGAGATGGGGTCTCCAGCATTTTGCCTCAGAGTAACTATGACGTGCACGTGACTCGATCACTCATTGACGCCCTCGGACAGCAGTCAGTGGCAATTTCTACACAAAATGCTTCAGTCATGGGGATGACTTAAAAGAAACCAATGGACTTACCTCGACCACCAGGACTGCCTGCCTAAGGTGAAAGCCAGAATTCAGGACCAGCCTAGCGAACCAGAGCACCAGGTGAGCTGCCATCATATAGCAGGGTGGGGCAAACTGAGCAGGTGCAGAAGGGAGCAGGAGGGGCAGTTGCTGTCAAGGAAAGGCACAGGCAGGATGAGCAGGGTGCTGGGTGGAAGGGGAGGGTGCAACGGGCATGGCAAGTGAGTTCAGCAGTGCTGTGACAAACAGGGACAGCGATCGGGCACATCGGCATCTAGCAAGTCCAGCTGAAGGTAATACCGGGCTGGACAGCAACATTTGAGTGGCAACACACCACAGCCACTGAGCATGGGCAGCACGCTATAACACTGCGAGACACGCAGTATAACAAATGCAAGATGCACACCATCAGCAGACTGAAGGCAGGGACAGTCAGAAGGGAGCAGGGTGGACGGTGTGGGATGGCAGACCCAGACACAAGTGGCATGCTGGGATAGCTAACTGGGTATCAGGTGGAGGGACCCCCCTGGGAGGGTGGGTCAGCAGCCACTGACAATGCTCCCATTGAAGGGGAGTGTCACAATCTGGGGCTGGAGGGGTGTGTATGTGGCAATGGGCAGCGCCACCACCAGTATGTTTGTATATATGTATGTGGATACTATATAGCAGGGAGCGCTGGGAAACAGAGTCTCCAGCATTTTGCCTCAGGGTAACTATGACATGCGGGGACACGTGGGCAACTCGGTCACTCGTTGATGCCCTCAGACAGTGACCAGTGGCAATTTCTATAAAATATCCATTGAATCTTATCGATTGCCAATGTTTCTTGCCAGATCAGGCTGCAAATGTCCTTTGTTAGAGACTTGAAGTGCTGGCATCAAATGCAGGACCCTTAGGCACCTGCCAGATGATAACATCTAGTTGGATGCTTTTCATGCATGCTGTCATCGGACTAGCATGGCATCTCTGATAAGTTGTGGATGGTTCTCCATCAAGGTAAAACCTTTTTCATACAGATAGTATGGAGGAAAGGCCCACTCATCGTACTTGCCATTCCAGATCAATACATCTGTAACTGGAGGCATTCTTCTGTTGACTCAGCATGGCTCTCAAGTATGCTATTCACAGGAGCTGGCTGTACATTCACTTACAAAATTACAGGATGGATCAGTGCCGATTGGCTCACATATATCGCTGATTGATGACACAGTCTGGCTCACATGCGGTCATACAGAGAATCAGGAATCATTCATGAGTGCAGTACAATGTGGAAGATATGTAGCCCGTCTTATCGAAACTCATGATACCAAGACCCTGCTTACCTTCTGACGATGGCATGTGTGTCCTTTTCAAAGTGGGAAACACATTATAATGCACTGCTCAGGTGTGAACAACGTTTCATTTTCCACAGTCATTAATGAAATTGAGCTGTTGCAACAGGGACAGTGAGGGTCCACAGGCATTATGCATCCTCGCTGGGTGGTACCAAAAAGAGTCAAGTCACTCAACGATGCATGGTACCCACTGAGATCTTGATCATGCAGTGATCTCAGACTATGCTTATCTTTCTACATTTCTGGAACACCGTCATGCTCCTGGCAATGTAGGCACAAGATGGGGGGACAGACCAACCTGTCATAGTCAGCTTACGCACCCGCTGCTTCATCTATAAGATGGGTGGTCTGCTGTTGAATGTGTCACGTTTTCTCAATTTTGGCATGCCTCAAGTCATCCTGCTTGCATAAAAGAATGGATCCTTCACATCTATGTTCTGTTCGAATGTCTTTGAGTGTGTATAATCTTGACATTGCTGTATATATTCATTGGACCCATTACCTCCATTCACAAATCACTCCAAATCCCCATCTACATTGCTGCCAGATCACTAGTTGCACTGCTCTCACAGCTGGTCTTACAATCGAGGTCCACAAAATCACTGTACTCCAGGATAAGGGCATCTGGAAGAGATACCTTGCCTTTGGACATTCATTCCACTGATCATGTGGCTGACAGAGAAAATGTTCCATCATCAAGCTTCGAATGTCATGTCTCAGAAGCTGGGGGACCCATGCTGTTCTCATTCATTGTGGCCAGATTGTTCTTATGTCTTACACTTCTCAGCCTCTCTATCGTGACTATGATGGTTACTGATCATGAGCCCAGTGTCAATGTGGCACATGGCACCTGGGTTGCACTGAGGATCTGTGGTGTCTATGTAAATGCCATTCTAACCATCACAATAGTGCCATCTCTGAATCACTTTTCTTAGGCATATGCATCGATACTTGCACTCATTGAGACCATATAAAAGTCTAGTCTAACACCTCTCATCAATCTGCATCTCATCACGGTGCTCTTCGCTATGTGAGCTGTCTATGTCCATCGAGATGTTTGGCCACTTATCACATATGTCTTGACACCGTTGGATGCTGCCAAGGGTTTATTGCTATGGGTTAAAATGGCAATTCTTACTTTCGTCGCCTTACTCATTCTCATGTTCTGTCTATGTCGCTATGTACCACTAGATCTGAAGGTGAACCAGCTTCTCCACATCATGCACAAGTGCACAAAAATGAGCTCACACTTATGCTAGAATTCTATGCCTGAACCAAGTCCTGAACAAATGTTCTCTGCCTTCTCACTACTATTCTACAACTACTTAGATGATTAAATCATCAAGGTGAACCACATTGCTCATCTTTCACTTGATGCACTTCCTCCGATCCCCAACTACAACACAGCACAGGTTATAGCAGAGAAGAACATTGAGGTACATAGCACTTCGTGTAGTTATCATGATCGCGCTCACGAGTGGGTTCGTTATTTAGTGGCTGAGTTCCTTAAAAGAGAAGAACCAGTGAAGACACATCATGTGGAGCTTGTGAGAGGTTTTCTGTAAGAGAATACATCTTCTGGACATTCTGCTTCTTACGAGAATCACATCAGGATGGGATTCTTTCTCACTGGGTGAAACAATCAATAATTTGAGGTAAAAGATGGTAAACATATTGAAGAAAAAATTCAAATCTTTTAAGCATCTTCACTGTCAATTTGTGATAAAAGTATTTATAATATACTTAACATCTTTTGTTGTGAAAGATGATGAAAAGGTTAAAAGGAGATTGAACGAAATATTAATAATCATTGCTTCAATCATTTTACAATCTTTCATACAAAACTATGATGAAAAGTTTCAAAATCTTTTTTCACTCTTTTTTGATCAAAGATGATGAAAATATTGTGACTATGTCACACCCTTGTTTTCATATACTAAGCTAGTACTAAGATATGGAGGTTAATACTTAGGTCCAGATATTAGTACTATCTCTTGAAGCCTTAGTACTAGCATAGTACTAGCATAGTCTAAGCTAGTACTAAGGTCCGCAGATCAGTACTAAGGTTTGAAATTTAGTACTATGCTAGCACTAAGCTAGTACTAAAGTTCAAATGCTAGTACTATGCTAGTAGTATGCTTGTACTAAGATCTAAATGATAGTACTATGCTAGTACTATGCTATTACTAAGGTCTAGAGGTTAGTACTAACGTCTAAAGGTTAGTACTATGCTAGTACTAAGGCTTCAAAGAGTAGTATTATGCTAGTACTAAGGTCCAAATGCTAGTACTATGCTAGCACTATGCTAGTACTAAGGCTTCAAGAGATAGTACTAATATCTGGACCTAAGTATTAACCTCCATATCTTAGTACTAGCTTAGTATATGAAAACAAGGGTGTGACATAGTCACAATATTTTCATCATCTTTGATCAAAAAAGAGTGAAAAAAGATTTTGAAACTTTTCATCATAGTTTTGTATGAAAGATTGTAAAATGATTGAAGAAATGATTATTAATATTTAGTTCAATCTCCTTTTAACCTTTTCATCATCTTTCACAATAAAAGATGTTAAGTATATTATAAATACTTTTATCACAAATTGACAGTGAAGATGCTTAAAAGATTTGAACTTTTTCTTCAATATGTTTACCATCTCTCACCTCAAATTATTGATTGCTTCACCCAGTGAGATCTTGAGTTCAATGGGAGTTGTGTTCCAGGTATTCAATTCCAAGGGGCTTATTGATGTATATGCTGACCTGGTGTTAGAAAATGGCAATGTTCATCAATCCCTTCACCACGAAGAACCTATTGAGGTAGGTTTCCTCATTCGATCTTTAGCTCACAACGTGCAAACTGATACTACATTCATGCAAGGTATATAGAGACAGGAGGCCAGAGTGCCTACATATGACCTTGGTTGTGGATCATTGCATTGTTCCTGGGACCAATCATGAGTTCTATGGGTGGCAGTATCATGATGTTCTTTGCAGTAAGTCAACAATGTGTTTACACCAACAGCATCACCTAAAGCTCATGTGATAGATGCATATGATGATTCAGATTGAAGCAACAATCATTCAGCTTGTCTTTGAGCATGCACTGCATATGAGGGTCAAAGCAGAGACATCTGCAGCAAAGTTGGAGATCACACCATCGACAGCTTTTGAGCCTCTGGGTCTGCATCTCCATCCATGCCAATGTCAGCCAGTGCATCATCCAATGAGCAGGTGAAAGCAGACCCTTCAAAGGGCAAGCAAAGTGCCAGTGGCACACCCGTGCCAAGTCAGGCAAAGGCAAACATAAATTCTGAGGGAAAGAGCGCCAAGGGCAAAAATCTTGTCGGAAGAATCAACAATCTCATTACTTCTGATCGGCAGACTATTGTTACGAAACGTACCGTCGCTCATGGTCACGTGATCCCCATGAACAAGCGCCTAGAAGAGACGCCCAATCACGGTCAGGTGATATCAGTCACTATGTGACTGAGAACAGCTTCTAGTCACTGTGTGACCGAGGACAGCTTCTCGGGTTCTCAAACTCTAACCCCAGGATCTGCGATCCAGAACTTTGGCTCCCATTTCATATTTCAGGTATTTCACCTACGCTTTCTTAGCTCGCCAATTACCTGGCTCGCAGCAGCTAAGCTCCGGTGTGTTTCACCTATCTTTATCACTGAGGCAGTGTAGAGGACCCCTTGTACTAGTACCCCAGACTATAGGTCTGCGACTATATAAAGGGGCGGAGCAGCAGTGGG